TAACCTACAAACCTTTCTTTATTGTCCAGGGACCATAAAACATTTAGGTTGTTGCATGTAAATGTCTTCCTCTAAGTCACCGCTCAAGAATGCAGTTTTTAAATACATTCGATGGATTTCCAAACCCTTCAATGCAGTTATGGCTAATAGCGTTTGAATTGAAGTTATTCTTGTGACCGGTGAGTAGACGTTGAAGTAGATAAAATCTATGATAAGTCCGTATTTCAACACGCATTTGATGTTAGTTGAGAATGATTTTTTGTCAGTTTTCCTAGCTTAAATGTGTCACAAGGCTCATAATTAATGAGCTCAGGTCATAGTTTACCGGGTTTTGGTTGGTGTTTGGTATTTTTAGAGTCAGAATATGGGAATTAAGCCTGCATCGGCATTCGAGAATTAATTAGGATAAGTTGTGACACATTTGAGAGTTGATTTGGAGCATTAGAGGTCGACGGGGGATTAAAGACGTAGTTTTGAAGTTAAAAGAGCTCTAGAATCACCTACGAGATCAAACGAAGACTTAAAGAGCAAGAAACTGAAGAAAAGCCACCCTTAGCATTGCTTAGTTTACGTGCCGCTTATTAACGCAAATTTTAATAAGCACCGCTTAGTAACCTGTGAAGTAAATATGTCCTAAGGGTTCGGATCCTCTAGGCGTCATCCTAGAGGATGACGTCATCCTAGAGGATGACGCCTAGAGGATTATTCCAATCAACATGTCCTGATGGGTGATTATTCCAATAGTTTTCATTTATTTATTTTGCAAAACATTAAACCATATATTGCACCTTTTATCAATCATCTCAAAACAATCCAACAAGTTAATTTTTCATCTTCCTACCTAAAAGTTTTTTCTCTTTATGTTTATCCTCTCCACGCTTTTTCCTTCTATTTTTATCATAAAAGCTTTTTGTAGAATTTCCTTTTGATAGTTTTTTTCTTTTTTTCTTGCCCATTTTAATTTTTGTTTTCCTTTTTGGGTATTTTAATTCAGTGTAATTCTTTTTTGGGGACAAAAATATTACTAAAATAAAACTTATTTACATAAATATGACTATTCATTACTACAACGTAGTGTTGTGGTAACTTAAGTTCAAAACTCGAACATGAATTACTATGATTTCATTACTACTCTAATAACTAGTCATATTTTTGTAAACCATCTTTATTTTGATCATATTTATGTAATTATTTCATTCTTTTTTACAAAAGACTTTTTCCATCCTACTCATTTTTTTATTTGTTTTGTTTCTTCTTTCAATTTTTCTGTTCTTGTTATTTTCATTTCTTCTTATTCCCTTTTTTGCTACGGAGTATATTACTCCGTATAAGTCATTCTTTTTCTTCTTCCCCTTTCACCCGATCTTTTATGCTAGTTTTGATTGGTTAGTAAGTTTTAATTGTAATTCTAAGATTATTCCTTTTCTTCTCTTTCCATCCAATCTCTCTCCCATGTATCCAATTTCATTTAGAGGGTATATGTGAATGCTTTCTTTTTCTTTTACCTTTCCTCCTTTCCCCCCATTTTTAATTTTTCCCTGCATTTTCCTTTTTCCTTGGGTTTTTTTCTAGTGGAGTTTTCACTAGGGATGGAAACGGGGTGGTTTGGGGTCGGGTATGCCATTACCCGTACCCGCCCCGTTTAATAATAGTTTTCCCCGAAACTGCCCCGTTACCCGTCAGGTATTTCTTACCTGCAGGTAACGGTTTTCCCCGCGGGTAACCGTTTTATTAAAAGATCATTTTTTTTCCTTCAAAATTAGTATAAATCCTCAAATGATGATTAACTACTTATCATTGACCACCCAAATTAAGAAAATCCAAATTAAATAGCACCACAGATAAAGTTTTTTAAAACATCACAAAAAGTTACAATCGTTTAACCTAATATTCACAAATTATATATGTCTAGATTCAAAATCATGAATCTCTTACCACATCAACATCAAAAGATTAAGGGAGTGTTTGCAATTGCTTCAACTTTAAAAAAGTGATTTTTTAAAGTAATTTTGGGAAAAGTGATTAATAGTAAAAGTTGGTAGTGTTTGAGAAAAAAGTGATTCTGAAAAAGTAAAAGTTGGTAGCGTTTGGTAAAATAAGTACTTTTTGTGTAATAGAAAAAGTGAGAAGCAGTTTAAAGCACCATTCTACCTGCTTCCAGCTTTTAGCTTTTAAGTGATTAATTTAAGCAGAAGCTGTCATTTGAAAACACTCTTTTCAGCTTTTTTTAAGCCAAAAGTTGAAAAGCGCTTTTTTTAAGCAACCCCAAACACTCCCTAAGTCTTGTCTCAATAGAAAAATCTAATTATGAATCACAAAAATATTGAACTTCCAAAAATGTAATAATCATATCCCACCAACATTCAACATCTAAATTTAAGAACAATAACGTATACAAGTAACATAATGAAAATGAGAAGTTTTTTCTTAAAATATTACTAATAAAAAATATGTGGACAAAAATGTGACTATAAGTTACCATGAGTAAGTTTTATAGTCACTATGATATAATATTTGAATAAAATTATAAACACTAAAGTTACTAGAATCGCATTTTTGCCCACAACTTTATTTTGATTATAGATTTGGAATTATTTCTAAAAAAAAGGTACTTCTAATATTATGATTTAGGTATTCTTGTAGTTACTGTTTTAGAAATATCATACTATAAATTAAAAACTTTATATAAATTAGAGCAACCAAACAAAATCAATCTAATCATCCAATACACCTATACAATTATTAGCAATTACGTAGTACATAAATTAAAGCAAGCTAGAGTAATGTTTCGCAATATTTGGACTTTACACTCATACGTGAGTTTTATGAAAGTTATTGGGTGAAAAATTAAGATAGTCACAATGTGGAAAATGTGTAGAGAAAATCACGAAAATCAAATAATCAATATGGGAAGAAAATAAATTTTGTAGAAGCTATCAAAGGAAGGATGATGAATGATATTGAAAATTCAAAATCTAAAATAGTGAACTTTGAGCACCAACTCCTCAGAATTGCAAAGGATAGCCTATTCGTTGAATATTGTTTCAAAGTATTAGAGGGAATAAGTGTCATATACTAATGTCTTATGTACTACTATTCATATATACTTAATATATTAAATAATAAATACATAAACTATTAAAATATATAAGTAAATTTTGCGGGCCGGGTAATGGTGCGGGTAACCGTATCCAAATTAAACGGGGCGGGTAACGGGGCGGGTAGGTATAAACCTATAATCGCCCCATTATCGTTTACATAAATCGGGTATTCCCCGCCCCGTACCCGTTACCCAGTCAAAGCGGTTTTCCCCATTTTGACCGGTTCGGTTCGGTGCGGGTATCCATCGGGTCGGGTTAAATTGCAAAACAAGACATATGTGACCCATGGTTTGAAATATTTAGAATGGTAGATAGAGATGAAGTGATAAAACATGCACTCTGAGTTGTGAAACGAAAAACATGAAGACAGCAAATAAAGACCGGAAAATGAAAAATGAGAAATAGATCAACAAGTATTTAGTGTTCGGCCTAAAAAAAGGCACCCCAGGCTCTAGCACTGGAGGACTCCAGCAGCAATAATCGATGAGTCTGAGTTGTCTATCGGGATGAGGGTCAGTTTGGTCCTCGAAGTTGCAAAAAGGGGGTCAAATAAGTCCTTATATAGAAAATTCTGTCTGGACGTGCCATTTGAGGTGGCTCCCGGTGGAATTTTTTGATTAAATTTTTTGAGCATCTTATTCATTAAGTCTAGTTTACTCATACCAAATTTCAGATTAAAATTCAATCGGGAAGACATTCAAATGAATTCTTGAAGATAACTGTGCCGTTAAAAGCGCAGTTATCTTCAAGAATTCATTTGAATGTCTCCCCCATTGAATTTTTAGCTGAAATTTGGTATGAGTAAACTAGACTTAATGAATAAGATGCTCAAAAAATTTCATCAAAAAATTCTACCGGGAGCCACCTCAAATGGCACGTCCGGACAGAATCTTCTATATAAGGACTTATTTGACCCCTTTTTTGCAACTTCGAGTACCAAACTGACCCTTTACTCGTTGTCTATCACTCTATTGTATGGGTTTGATTTTTGTGCATGTACAGAAGATATCCAGATAGGCATGGACCCGGTCCAAGCCGGTTCCAAGCTGGGCCGGTTCTGATCCGGGTCCGTTCCGATCCCAAACTAACCGATCTTTGTAATAATATATGGAGGACAAGAACCTCTATTTTCAATCCTCGGTCAGTTCTGGTCCTAATCAGTCCCAAACCTGTTCCGGTTCAATCCCAATTTTTTTATTTTATTAGTACACTTCTAAACACTCTATTGCCCTCCCCACCCCATATACACCTCTTTTAAACTTTTAAATGGACTCTCAACCCTAAAGAAATGTTTTCCAATGATTTGATAGCAAAAACAAACAACAAATAAAATTTTTTATTTAAAACTGGTGTGGTCCCAAACCGGGTCTAAAAAATGGAGGTCTAGGATAGGGACCTCTTTCCCACTAATCCGGTTCTGGTCCCAAACTAGAACCTTATTTTCTGGTGCGGTCCCAAACCGGTCCTGGTCTAAAAAATGGAGGTCTAGGGCAGGGACCTCTTTCCCACTAATCCGGTTCTGGTCCCAAACTGGAACCTTATTTTCTGGTCGCTGTCCGATTCAATTCCGGGCATTTCTGGTCTGGTTCCCTGTCTCGGACCAAGTTCATCCCTTACTAAGGAGGTGGGTGATTTGGGGAGGATTTACGACTGGCTTTGGCGCCGTGCCGCTGTGATGGTAATAGCAGAACCCAACAAAAGGTACTTGGCAGCCTGACTGCCTGAGTTGAGAAAGGTAGTTGGCACATTTTAATGTTTTTAAAATAATTTGCATAAATGTACTTCATGATTAATGACGCATGCAGTACATTTAATCACTTTGTAGAGCATTTAAAACTAGTGACTCCGTATTTTGCCTTTTATCGTATACTATTATATTATACTACGTAATAAGTAACAAATCTAGTAAAAAAAATCCTAAATTGAAGATTCCTGTTCTATTAAGAAAAATCCTATATTACAAGTAATGATAATACTCCTAAAAATCATGTTTTACAAAGAAAAATTCAATGATGGAAACCGCATACACATACCCAAACATTATGTGAACAACAACTACTAAAACGCGAACAAACACAAGGACACCTGTGGCTTAAAAGAAAACCATTGCTTGCCTATTGAATCTGGGGAAAGGATAAGGGTAGAATCAAAAGAACGCCTGTTAGCCTATCTAACATCTGCAGGGTAGAGAATCTAGCTAGCTGCGCGGTCAGGCGAGGTACCGAAAAGACGAGAGCCATAGACAACACTATTTATTATGGAAGATGATGATGCATCTTGACCGAGGAACTCGGCCATCCCAAGTTTCCTCCGTACATCGGCGTTGTTGTTTGGATTGGCTGGATGGCACTGCCACCATAGGACAAGGGCCCGCGATTCAGAGGGGTCCCCCCTCCATTTTCATCAGATGATGCACTTGAGGCATCCTCTGATGGACTGGCTTCTGCAGCAGCTTGGGCACCGAAATTTGGGGTGTTCAATGGTGGTGGTGGGGGCGTTGATGATGGCTTATACTTCGGCTTCTTACCATCAGCAATGAAACTGCCAACAATCAGCTGGAAGAGAAGAGAGGTAAGTAAGCCCTACCCTCATCAAACAATGAACGAAGAATAGGCATGGGTATTTTTTTACCTGTACTTGGGATGCTGCCTTTAGGGCACCTGCAACCCCACCCCCTACAACTTTGCCATCTGCCCCGGCCAATGACACACTCAGCCCACTCGGCCTACTGTGGTGACCCCCACTTTCTGAAAACAAGAATGACCCTGACAAGGAGATGATTTCAAACTGCCCCTGCATCATCACATATATTAAAGATCAGCTTTATCATCACATTCGTAGCAATATATATCAGCTTTAATACTATAATATCATATACTACCTCCGTTTTACTGAGTTTTGTGCATGAGGAGGAGGTGTGGTTATTAAGAAAATTGTGTTTGTGTGTTAGATATTTAATTGATAATGTAAGAATCGTAAGAATGACTTACAACCACACAAATAATTCCAAATTTGATATTGGACAATCTATGTGAGACGAACAAAAAAAAGGAAAAATGGGACAATCTTAACGGGACAAAGAGAGAAATTCGGAGTATAACAGAAATGCAAATTAAAAAACAGCCCACGAGATGCTAAAAAGCTACCCGGCACATCCAATAAGGTATGGACTGTCTGTAACACAGCACTCTACTTTGGTGCAATAAGGTTTATCATCATATACTTATAATATCTGTAACCAGCAAAAGCATACAGTGGCAATAGAATGGTTTGGTGACAAAAGAAAACTTCATTGCAGCCTAAGGGTTATTAAAATGAAACGGCAGCCTGAATAAGCAAAGGCTTTTGGTAAAATTTATTTAAGCCGAATCAGCTACTTATTCTGCTAATTCCAATAATAAGCTAAACAAGCCACTTTTGATTACCAAACGGAGTCGAAGTGCCGAGAAAAATACACAATGAATAGTTGATGATCAGATACTATCATTTGGTTAATTACTATCTTTCAATTCATTATTCAAATAGATGCTTTATTTTATCAAAATAATTATGAAATTTGTTCAAGAACAAGAATTATAACACGCAACAACAAACAAGTCCAATGATAAGATAGATATCAACCATAGGTACGCACACAAATAATCAAACAACCACAAACACATACAAGGTAGCAAAACACAGAAGTCTCAGTCTTGAGGCAGCAGTGGCTCTACAAAACAGCCCAATTCCAACAGGAAACCCCTAATGATTCACTTTGTTTCCCACAATTTCATGCCTATCTATAAATATGAGAGAACACATCAGAGAACATCAGATTTCCACCCAGTTAAGCCATGATAACAGAATATACTGTCTTCAAAATCTCTTTGTGATTAGCACAAGTTTATATTTGATTCCCATTGTGCTCAACATCAAACATGGAATTCATGGATGTGTTGAAAACACGTTAAAATATAATTAAAAAACTAAAAAGAGAGGAAGTGGAGTTTGTAAAAAATAATACTCCCTCTCCCTTAAAATTTCTCAACCAAGACAAAGGTAAATATTTCTTCCTCCCTCCCCTCGAACCAGACACCCATAAAATGTCAATATATTAATTTTTTAAAACAACTTAATAAATCTAAAATCACTAAAAACATGAGTATTAAAACAGCAGGTATGTATATATCCCCCAAAATCTTTTGGGACTAAGGCTTGGATGTTGTTTTATGTAAATATGACACATGACACCAATCAAACATTAATAAGAAAGAATAGTTGTTTGTGGGAGATCTAAAAGCACACGAGAGAGAAAAACATCAGCAGATCCAATATGGAAAGAAGATTAAATTCATATAAGCATTATTAAGACATAACAATAATATTTTGACATATCGACTTCAATATAAGATATTAGGTCACCACTAACACAAATTTCATGAACAACTCTCAATTACTGATGCTTGTGTATAAGATAATTCACACATTATATAAGATAATTCCCACATTATATACGATAATAAAGACACCTTGGCAGAAATTACTTGTCTCTTATTTGCACGTCAAAGATAATTAGGATTTAGGATACCACCACAACTTTTATGCCATGAGTAGGAAGATCTTCGGAATATATAGTAATATTCTATAAAAAGGCTAAAAGCATAAAAAAAAACCAAATTTAACTTTAGCACAATGACATAGGCCATACCATGTTGGCACTTTGGAAAAGTGAAATTAGGCATGACTAGCAAAAAGGGATCATGTAACTTATAATTATAGAGATGTGATAACAAATCTAATAGCAAACAGACCTCTAGCGTCACACTTCCACCGCCACTGGAAGGTTGTCGAAGGGTAACATTACAAATAGCGCCAATTGCAGAAAGAATGCAAACTGTCCTTGGTCCTTGTTGAGAAAATTCCATTATCTTCAAAGCTACATCCTACAATAGAATAAAAATCTTCATATTAGATTAGAGGCAAATAATGCACCAAAAATTCAGGAAGTACTATATATGGTGGAGAATAATTAAGCCACAGCCTTTATCGTTCCAAAAGTTTATTTGGTAGATTAAGAATAATGGGGGTGATAGATGATTGATTCTCTTCTGATTTGAATATACACAGGAGCTAATACAAACGCTTATTTATTTCCCAGACCATTATCCTTGTTTTCCATATTTTGCTGATCATATAAAGCAAATGTGCATTCTTCAAATGGAAAGTAATACTGCATTTACATAAAAAAAAATATGATGAAATGCAACAAATGTAGAACCTTCTGCTGACAGAAGTAGATTCCTCTTCAAGAAGAATAGAATCTTTTAGTAGTTTCAATTGAGAAATGAAATTAGAATGTATCACTTCACTGTTGTACCAATTCGAACAAAAAAATACCTCTCCGGGTTCTACAGTGATAACATGGGGTGTAAAACCAACTCCAGCAGACCCTGTCCACAAAAAATGATGCAATTCAAAACATAAAAGAGAAATTAAAGAATAAAGAAAGGAAATATAAGAAAGAAATGACGAAGAGAGGAGCAGTAGCATAATCAACAGACCAAGAGCATCCATTTGTTTCTTTATGGAGCCAGGCGGCCTGCCACGGGCCTTCTTGGCCTGATTCTCGGACGAAAGAGTTGGAGGGGCAGTGCTGGAACCTGCCCCAGCCCCGCCGGAGTCGGGTTGGACTAAGATGGATGAAGAAACTGGAGTGGGAGAGAGTGCGAGAGCAATGTTCCCATCAGGCGAGTACTTCCTAGGTCGGCCCCTCTTCTTCCGGGCGGGCTCAATGCTGAAACCAGTAGCCCCAGGTGACGACATATCGGAGTAATCCATGGCGACTGGTTTAGGAGCAGTGCCCGGACCCGTGGCAGGGCCCACCATGGAGTTGAAAGGAAACCGAGGGTTTGGTTGTTGTTGATGATGATGATGCATCATGTGGGCAGATACGTTGTTATGGATTGCGGCGTAGGAGTTGTGTTGCTGGGGCGGCGCCACCATCATTGTGGGACCCGGTTGGTGCTGCTGCTGCTGCTGGTGGTGATGGTGGAGAGCCTGGTGGTGGTGGTGGTGGTGGGGTAGAGGGAGTTGAGAATCTTGAGAATCCATCTTTGGAAGTACAACTGCAAGAGAACTAAAAATAATAATGCAACTACATAAAAAATCAACTGCCTCTACTTCTAGTCTAGTTCCCAATAAATAAAGAGTAAAGGGGGTTTTCGAAATGCCGATTGGATTTGTTGGGTGGGAGCAGGGCCTCGTCAACCAATGCGGAGACTTGAAACCTATTGGAGAGTTCACAACTTCACATTACAAAGAGGAAAGAAAGTTAAAACAACAAAACAACCACAAGTAACCGTTAGCTCTTGGACCAGACTCAGAGTTATTTTGACAAAGTAATATAACTTGCTGATCCTAAATTAGGCATAACTAAGTCAACGACGGCTACCGCAGATCCCTCATCACTCAGTTCTAATGCAAGAGTCTTACAATAATAAAAGTAACCAACTGAAAAAATAAACAGTCTGATCTTGAAAAATAAATTGCAAGAAAAAAAGTAGAATTTAAAAGATGCTTCCAAACCCTAGACTCTTCTGCATCCATTGCGGTAGTTCAGGAGGGGATGCTCCAGCAATACTGTAGATTCTTCCTCACCTTGCCTTTTATTCAACTCTTTTTTACCAATCCTCCTATGTCGCCACCTAACACAAATGACATCGGATCCAGCTCTGTTCCAGCCTCTTGCCCCACGTTTCGTCCATGATGACCTGGGGCCGCCGGAGGCCAAACATCCACCTTCTATCCCTACACAACATTCGACCGCCAGAGACCAAACATCATCTTCCCTCAGCTAAATCTCAACAAGCAAAAGAAGAAGAAAACCGCACAATTGATGGTGAAAGGAGAAACTCTGTATGCCACTCCTTTTTACAAACGATAGCGGAGAAAAAACCCTAGCAGTGAAAACCACCCTAGAGAGAGAAAGAGCCAAAGAAAGTTTAATGTTAAATTTGAGTTTAATGAGTTCTATTTGAATTTCACATTACAAAAAAAGGAAAAAAAGAAATAAAGATGGAAAACAAACTCACTTTTTTAAATGTGTTTATAAAAAAGGTTATGTCTTATGTCCTCCCATTTATTTTCATCTAATATAATATTTTAGCTTAACATTGTTCAAATCCTTTTATAGATGCATTGTACATGGAATTAGTGTTACATTTTTAAAAGTTTATCACTTTTAGAAGTTTAAGTGCAAATATAGATATTTAAAAGTTTACATGGAATATAGATATTTAAAAGTTTTTAAAAGTTTATGTGTACTCAAATTTCTATATAAATATTTGTCAACCAGATTTCAGAAGGATGACGTTAAGGGTGGCATCACTTTGGTCTGGATCAAGTTTTCAATAATTTAAAAAATTACTCACAAGATCTCAGATTATGAAAATCGGAGATCGAAAAAAGGCATTTTATATTTAGTTCGAGTCAGGTTTTAGTAGTTCGGGTTCATTCCTGGATTGAATAGAGTCAATTAAAGCTTGATTGAAAAATCATTAAACTATCCTTATGTAGTTTAAAAGATTAAAAGATGATTTCAAATAAAATTACAAACAAGTACAAATCACAAATATTAACAAAAATAATAGTCTCCAAAATTACTAACAATTCAAATCCAAGCAACATAATGTTCTTTTTTAATCCGCAAGTCCACTGTGGTTCAACCCAAATGGTGTTATTAATCCGGGTTTTTATCCTATTTGAAGACTCGGTTAAAAATACGAGCTTACTAATGATCCCTAAAGTTTATAACCCAAACCGGTCAATATTCGAAATAGTTACTTTTAATATAGATACAATATAATATTATGAAATAGTTACTTAATATGCGAAATGTATCACTAAATGATGTCAGATGCGACTATGAGTGTACAAATAAAAGTAATACTACATACTACTTATTTTCGAATTAGAGGTGCAATGTGTATGAGCATATAAGTGCATCAAGTAACATTAACATGCACTTTTGTAATAAAACTTTTTATCTTATTAACATACACTTTCTTTCTCATCAAAATGAAATTTTATCTCATTAGCATGCATGCTTTATATAATTAAGATGCATTCTCTATGTAAGTGTTTATTTAGCAATTAATCACATACACTTGTGCAGAACTATCATACAAACATGAAAGATGCATTTATACAAATACAAAAACATGGGTTGAAATAATGGTAAAACAGGGATGGTAATTTACATTGAAAAATATAAGGGAAAAGTACAATAAAGATAATTGTGACTAGACAAGGGGCGGATGCATGTTAATTTTAATGGGGCCACATGTCCTCGATGACTTCCTATTTTTACCATAATATAGATATAAATAGAGGAATGATCATGTCCAGTCGCATGGACAGGATACTTTGCCCGGCCGGCGCCGTTTGGGGCGGCTCCCGGTGGACTTTTTTTATAAAATTTTGTGGACATGCTCCTAATCAAGTCTAGTTTATCTACAAAAAAAAACAGCTAAAAAATCGATCAAGAAAGCTGTCAAATAATTTTTGGAAGATAACGGTGCCAAGTTAAACATATAAAACACGGTTATTTTCAAAAATTCATTAGCTGAAAGTTTTTTGTGGATAAACCACACTTAATGTGGAACATGCACACAAAATTCATCAAAAAAATTCACCGGGAACCGCCCCAAAGAGCGGCGGCCAGACGGAGGATCCTGTCCCTCCGACTGGACATGATCTTTTCCGGATATAAATATACACATATCTAATAATCTAATAAATAAAATCTTATAAACACCTATGAAAATAAGGTTATCTTGGGTATAGAAAATTTGGTGGTGTAACGTTACTGCTTTAGCAAGATGTACCTGGTGCTTAAGTTAGTGCATTGTCTTTCTGTAGTTTCAATGTCAAGGGCAAAACATATGTTGTCCTCATGTTACTTGCCCGGTCAACCTGCCTTCCACTTCGGCACCTACATCAAACGTATGTTGGTTGGGTTAGTCCCGCACAAATGGAATCCCAATGCGTGCTTGCCTCACCATGCCTGCCTGCCCTATTCTCCTTCCACTTCTCCTCGTCTGATAAGTTATTTATTTCATTCCTTTTGATGGTATTGTTGATTCTTTCTAATTGCTGTGAAGAGCAAGTTACGGGAAAAGAAGAAACTTCCTCAACTACTTCAGCCAAATCAGTGCATGTTTCTTTTATAAATCTATTTTCCTAACTTCGTAGAGGTTCTCCCGGTAAGTCTTTTAGCCCTTGCCATCTAACACATGCTTTTCTGTAGCTATATTGTTTGTCCTACTGAGTATTATTGGTCTGGATTGTCTTTGTGCTTATGTTTTGTCTGTGTCTAGAATGGAACTATGTTAATTATTAAACTTTATCTTTTTCATAGGTCCTCAGATAAGTATTGATGTAACCTAAACATATAATTTTTGCTCACAAACTACCACCCCCAATGACCATTTCCTTATAAAGTATTTGTAGAAATGTCTAGGTGACACTCTTTTAGTTGTTTTAATTGTTTGGATTACTGCCATTTCAATTTGGATTTTTATATGATATTTTCACAGTGAGGTCAATTTGGCTGCGGCACTTAAACCGCATACTAAGATGACTAATATGTTTAGCGAACTTCCAGGTCCTAGATCATCCTTAGAAGATGATCTTCAAATGTTTCTTAAGAGAAACTACATAAAATACTTGCCAGAGGTTTGCCAAATTACTTGGAAGACAATAACTTAAGATATTTCTCTTTTTGAGTAGATAAAGGATCTGGTTTCTATGACTGTGAATAGTTGTTACTTATTAGTCAACATCATTTCTTATAATGACCTTTTATCATGCTTTTCCTATGGGATAACACAAGTGAGACAAACAAAAACTTTGGCATAAATTATCTGCACTTTTACATGGGTATTGTTACTAGGAACAACACTCGAAAAAGAGTCAGATTTAATTCCACCACAAGTTATCCAAAAAATTATTTAAGTAACTTCTTTGGTTATTATAGGATCACACTCTTATCGCTCAGAATATTTCTAATGCAATAGCAAATGTTCTAATGAACTTTTATCATGTGTTCTCCTAGACATGTGGGTAAACACAAGTGGGCATAAACTAGAAGTTCATATCTCGATCCTATTTAGGTAAAAAAGAAGGAATTGAAATATGAACAAATAATATACAATGATGTATTATATGAAGGAAATATATATAACATAGGGTATATATATCTTAAAACACACTTTATTACTCAAATAGGATTTTCACTATCATCATTATCAAAATAAATAGGAAGTCATAAGTCAGATTTCTAAGCTAATGAGTGTGTTGCTCCAGCTTGGGCCTCCTCTACCAGTTGTGTGAATATAAAATAAAGTCATATGTTTTATTCTGACTTTATTTTTGAAGACTCTTTTGAAATTTCCCTATATTTGACCTCTAACCTAGGCTTGTTGTAGCACTCCTTATTGCGTCAAGTTGTGGAAAAGGTAAGAGAAATATCACAAATGACATAAGGATGAGAGAAGGTGACAATCAAATACTTAAAGAAATGAGGTCAAGGCATATTAGTGGTTCAGAGAATTTAATCTCTTCATAATGGTCATAAAGCTCTTTACTTAATAGAGAAACTGGAGGGGTATATGTGGTGTAAATCTATTTCAAAATTTAGAATTTAATCTCTTCATAATGGTCATAAAGCTTTTAACATAGCAGCTGTTGTTCTAGAAAAGAACTTTCTAAAATTTGTTAGCTTTCATTATTGTTGATGCGAATCGGTTTTGTGGGTCTTTCTTTTCAGAATTTATCATTATATTGAGATATTTTTATCTCTACATTGATAATAACCTCAACAACGCAACAGAAATTCATTATTATATCGATGAAAATCTCAGAAGGCAGTAACCTATTACAGTTGTAGAAACTAGAGATCAACGTAAACTGAAAATAAGAGGGTTGAGACTCTTCGAGAGGCCTCACTCCCCCAGCCTAATTCCAACTGAATTCCAGCCCACCCACTCCCTCTTCTATTCCTTCTATTTACTCTTTTCCAGTGAGGCTTCCCTCAATCTATCTAATTAATTGGTCCAGCCCACTATTACATTTTATTAAAATATTCAGTATTATTTCTATTATATCTCACGCTATAAGCCCATAAGTCCAGGTCTTTATCATACATTAGTTCAATGCAACCTTTACAAGAGTTAGATTTTAAAAGTTCCGATCAAACTTCCGATATTTAGTCAAG